TCCACACCAGCCCGGGGGGGGGGAGAGGGGAGCAAGTCAAAGCACCAAAAAGGGGGTCTTGCCGGCACTGCCCCTCCCCCCCCGCGCCCTGGAGAAAGCCGCCTCGCAGCCGGAGCTGGCCAAGTCCGCCCGCTTACCTGCTCCGCCAGGGCTGTCGCCGCCGTCCTTCCAAGCAAGAGCAGCCCCCTCCGGCGGCGGCTCGGTGCCTGCCTGCCTGCCTGCTTGCCGCTGCCGCTGCTGGAGGCTGAGCGCCTGGGCTCCCACTGCCTCTCTGGCCGGGCTCTGAAGCCCCACCGCGCTGACGGGGACGGGGAGGAGAACCGGGGGGAGGGAGGGAGGGAGGTGGGCGGGGGGGCGTCACCTTGATGGAGGAGCGCTCGGAATTTAAATGCCACAGCCCGGGTGATCCATCACCATGCAGGAGCAGGGCAACTCTGGCAGGAGGCGCCGCCATTGGCTGCCGCCCTCACGTGGCCGCCGCCTCACTGTACATTCATATCATTTTTCTTCTGGCCCCCATGGAGGAAGTGGGGAAGTTGGCACGGTCACCCAGGACTCCGAAGAGCCGGTCAATCGGTGATAGATGGACACGGCGAGGATGAACTCCTTCCTCGATTATCCGCCCATCCTCAACGGCGGCGACTCCGCCACTTGCTCGTCCCGTGCCTACCACCACCACCACCACCATCACCACCACCCCGACCATGGGATTACAACCACTTTCCAGTCGTGCGCTGTCAGTGCCAACAGCTGCAGCGGGGACGATCGCTTCCTGGTGGGCAGGGGGGTCCAGATAAGCCCCCATCCCCACCACCCCCACCACCAGACCGGTGCTTACCAGCATCACCCCAGTCTGGGGATGTCCTATTCACACCCCAGCTGTGGGCCAAGCTACGGAGCGCAGAACTTCGGCGCGGGGGGCTACGGCCATTACCCCCTCGGTCAAGAGGCAGAGATTAATGGGGGCTACCCTCAGTGCGCTCCTGCGCTCTACTCGGGTAACGTGCAGCACCCTCAGAGCTATTCTGGGGGGGCAGTGGGTTCTGCTCAGTACCTCCCACACTCTTACGGAGACGAGCAACAGAACTTGCCCCTCACGAATTACAGCCACCCCTTGTCCCCTCTGCACTCCGGCCACCAGGAGACCTGTGGCTCACCTTCTTCGGAGAGCTCCCCTCCAGCCCAGACCTTTGACTGGATGAAAGTGAAGAGGAACCCGCCTAAAACAGGTCAGTCATCACCTGCCAGACTTGGAAAAGTTTTTCATCTTCTTTCCTTCTAGGCAGATGCCCTTCAACTTGATTGCGTAGACGTTAGGAGAAGAGATTTGCTCTGGGTCCTGAAGGCGAACTGAACATGTCATGGTGTCATTTTTGGGGAGGGTTTAAAAAAATATATATTTGGGTGCAAATTCTGGGTTTATCTTTGAGCCACATCCCCTATTCCCAGTTCTCCTTTAACCTCAGTGGAGGTTTCCAGCCTTGATCCTCGATGCTGCGCATTTACTAGCTATGAATTTGAATAAACCTGTTTATGATTGGGCCGCAAGGGTCTCGGCGGCTTTTCTCGACCGCTGTAACCTGTGCGCGTGTCCCTATTGATCAATGCTGCCTACAAATCATTGCTGCTGGTTAATGAATCATATTTGCGTGTCTGCAGGCAAAGCTGGCGAGTACGGGTACGTCGGTCAGCCTAACACCGTCCGAACCAACTTCACCACCAAGCAGCTGACTGAACTGGAGAAAGAATTCCACTTCAACAAGTACCTGACCAGGGCCCGCAGGGTGGAGATCGCTGCTTCGCTGCAACTGAACGAGACCCAGGTCAAGATCTGGTTCCAGAACCGCAGAATGAAGCAGAAGAAGAGGGAGAAGGAGGGCTTGCTGCCCATCTCCCCGGCCACCCCGACCGGAAGTGAAGAAAAAACAGAGGAGTCCTCGGAAAAGTCCAGCTCATCCCCCTGTACCCCGTCACCAGCCTCCTCTACCTCAAACACTCTGACTACCTCGAACTGAACGCTGCTGCTCCGTCTGTCGCAGTCTTTCAGGCACGCGTAACACAGCCCCATGCCCTGTCTGAATTGTGTTCAAAATCGCTTTTTTAAACAATGTGTCAGATCCCCCTCCCCCACCAGGTTCCCCGTTGGTTTCCAGGGATTTCATACTCCTGAGCTTACTCAACAGAAGTCACCCCCCACATATATCTGGAAGCAAATGCCCTTGGTTTCAATGGAATTTACTTCTAAGTTAAGAAACACAATCCAGCCACAGCTAGTCAGGCCTCGGTCCTAAGGAATGGAATGGGGGATGCAGCAAAACCGTTGGCACCTAGGAAGTAAGTTGATTGCGATGGGCTTTGTTCCCGGGTAAACATGTAGAGGATTGGTTCATTTAAACCCCGTTTGTTTTGATGGAGATTAGCTACTGCTAGCTTCGGCTGGATTGTGTCCGCTGCGTTTACGGTCTTAGCCTTAATAGGTTCTATTTATCATACTGATATCGTCCGGTATTCAATATTACTCTTCCACCTCAAGCCCTATGGATCAGGATTTATGTCTCTGTATTCATCCTAAAACCATTTGTGGGAACTATCATAAGAATCTGGTAGACCGGAATAAAGTTACCACGGAAGAAAACCTAGAGGGAAGCAAAGACAAGCGACGTGGAAAGCATACCAAAAAAAAAAAATGTCCATGAAGAGATGCACTATTGAAAGCGTTTACACTAATTCTACCACCCTCTAATTTAAAGCTTCCTTTCCCCCCCACCTTGTGTGTATGAGTTTGTTGGTTGTAAATACTTTTGTCCAAGAGATTTATCTTTTTATGGATTTTCTAGAAACGTTTAGATAGATTATGAGCTTAAACAGGGTGGATACATTCTCATCTTGCTTCGATTTTATACCGAAAAGAGTGAGGATGTCACGAACCAAAAGTGTTCAACTTAATCAGATACCTCAAAAGAAAAATCATAGACTACTATTATTTCTTCGAAGGAGCTAGAAAAAGAAAGCCGAAATTGCACTAGGTTTTTCTAAACCTTGGTTGATGTCTGTCCCCCCCCCCCCTTTACCCTTCCCCTTCCCAGATCTGAGCTGGGTAATCGTTGCCCTATTAATATTGCTTTAAAAAAATTAAAAACCCCGCCTCCCTGCCTATTTTCTCATTCACCTTTCCTTAAACGATGTCTTTCCAGACCAGTTCCTGAATGTGATGAGTGGACAAACGAATGTATCCCCCCCTCCCCTCCCGTGATTCGTGTGTGGAACTTTGCATGATGCACAAAGCTTTGATGTACTAAGTTAACACTGAGTTCTATCAGTTGTCATTTGTGATGGAGTACCTTTCTGATTTTTTCTGTACAATCATTCACAGTTCTGAGATTCTGTGTGTGTGTGTGGGGGGAAGAAACTGGAATCCAGAGCAGAATTTTACGGGTCCTACAAATCTCTGTAATAAATATATTAATATCTCAGGTTCTTGTTTGCTTCGGTCTGTTCGGGCAAGGGAAAGCGTTGCCCTGTGGTCTGCGCTCTCCCGTACTCTGCCCACCTCGAATTCTTGGCTCCCTTTAAGATATACGTCTCTAGTACTCCGAGAGTCGGCAAAGCAGGAAAATTAATCACGAGAAGGAGAGGTCCTTGTTTACCCTTCGCTGGGCGAGAAGGAGGGCAGAAGAACCCGAGCTATTTTTGAATAACCCTTGCGGGAACTTCCTGGGTCAAGTGCTAACCTTTTCACCCCGAACTGAATATCGACCTATGTGTAAACAGAGTCCTCTTCAAAAGCAGAAGCTGTCTTCAGTTTTTTCCCTCACATCGCGAACCCCCAGTTAAGAGAGTCCCTTCTCATTATCCTCGGGTATAAAGCTGCCCAAGTAACCTGGCGTCACTCCGTCCCTTCTAAATCGTCATTGACATCAAGGGACAAAGCGTCGTAAAAAGTTGAGAGAGAGAGAGCCTTGTTTACACAACTCTGATTCCCGCTCTCTTTCCCAGGTGTGCACCTGAGGTGTTCTTTCAACCCAAACCAATTTCTTCCTGAAACAGAAAACAAGTTTAGGCAGGTGAATGTGAAGAACCTTCTGAAAAATCTTGCGAACAAGTTAACAGGTTTGTAAGGCAAGGGAGGCGCAAAAGAAAGTGTCCCCTCCTCCTCCTCCTCCCCCCCCCGCCCTCTTTCTGGCCAGCCTGCACAGAGGTGTCCCAGCCACGGGGCACCATCGAAACACGGAGGCGATTTTTTGCATCTGGCTCCAGCCGAGTGCCAAAGGCGCAGTCAATCCCATTCGCTTTTAAAAGGCTGCCTCTTCCCAGCCGCGCCAGAAAGGGGTCGGCCTCGAGCGCGCGCGTCGGCTGCCTTTGCCCGGCTGGGAGTATCAGAGCAGCCCAGCCGGGCTTTGCAGGCGGGCAGCGGCCATATCAAGAGAGGGCCAGGCCAGGCCGCGGCTGCGGCGCAGGGCTGTCTCCAAAGGGCCCCCGGGGCTGCTTCGCCACTTCAAAGCGGGAGGGTTTCATTTCATCCTCTTGCTTTCTTTCCCCCTTTCCCCCCCCCGTCCCATCTTATACTTTTACCTTTTGTTGATTAGGGAGAGGCCACCGAGCCCAACAGATGGCCTCCCGCCAGAGACTTTCAAGTCAGCCAAGTGGCATCTGCATGCCAGTGGGCTGATCGGAATCACTCGGAGCATTTGCTGTAACGAAACACATCCGACCAGTGTTCCCTCTAAGCTGTGAAGTCTTGTGAGCAGAAATTCTACTTTGTGAACTACTGGCATTAAAGTTGTGAGAGAGCAATTTGGCTACTGCATGAATTAGTTTGCTCTGGAGCCCTCCTTCCTGAGAGAGCTCAGACAAAAATGTGTGAGTCGGAGGCTAAAGAACTGTGAGCTAGCTCACACCGACTCGGCTTAGAGGGGACACTGGATCCGGCCGCTCTGGGCTTTATTCTCGCGGGCTGAGAAGCCACAAAAGGGAAAGTCAGCACCCACCCGGCTAAATGCCGCAGTCTGGGCCTTTGGCCACCCGATTCTGGAAGGCTGGCCTCGTTCAGCATCCTTGCAGACAAGAGCGAGTACCGCATCCCTGCTGTAATACTCCGAAGGAGGCTATTGGGGAGGAAATGTCTTTCACTTACCTGTGAAGGGACGTGCCCCGAAATAATGCTTCCATTAATACTTCTCTTAATAAGGAAACGAAGAGTTCGACTCACAAACAAATCCTACCACCGGGTTTTACTTCCCAACAAACACGCATTAGATTGCAGCCGGCCTCCCCCCCCCTCTCATATTTTGTCTTCAGTCACAGTGCAATGCTACAAAGATTTCCACTCCTCTAAAGGTACTGAGATCAGTGGGCTTGTTAATACTGCTGAAGATTGCCCTGCAATTTACAAGGAGGAAGCTTGAAGCGAAGCCAGGTCTCCAGCCATTGCTGAGAAAATCCTCGTTTCCCAGAGAAACCAGACTCTTCGCGTTGATTCTTTTTTTAGTACAGATTATGGATTCGAGGGGGTCGACAGCCGATTAAAACACTTGACACCCAAACACATCAAATAGAACTCCTGTTCACTTCAATGGGATTTAGTTCCAAGAAAGTGGCGCAAGGTCGGGTGTTAGCCGAGCCACCCTCTCATCCATTAACAGCACTCCTAGGGAGACTGAAGGCATATCTGGAGCGCGAGCTCAAGGACATTCCCCTGGATTAAAGAAAGTGGGGAATCACTCCAGGACTCAAGCAAGATAATGCGGACATACGTTGTCTGAGATAAGGCGATGCAGTTCTACTGCAGATGGTTTCTTTTAAGAAATCCACATTTCTGTCTGGCCAAGTGAATGGCTCAATCGATGAATCACAACCATGAATCAATGACTGCGTCATGTCCACTTTATTTGATATGGAAATTTGGATGAAGCTCTCCCTCCCTTTCTTCTCTGAATTGTTCCAAAGGGAGGTGGAATAATAATAATAATAATAATAATAATAATAATAATAATAATAATAATAATAATAATAATAATAATAATAATAATAATAATAATAATAATAATAATAATAATAATAATAATTTGTGTCCCACTTTTGATGTTCACCTTTAAAGTTTACTTTTGGAGGCAACATTGAAATGCTTGGCTGGTGTTTTCCTCTGGGGCGATCAGATTGAAAACGATCAATATTTACTCAGTCTGAAAAGGGTTGTTGAAAAGGCAGCTAACAACAAACTGTTTAGTTGCTCACCCCGGTTTAATCTCAGGTTCACCGAAAGTTCAAGCAGAAATGAATTCAGTGATGGGTCACTTTAGAATGAGTCCCAGCGGTTTATCGCGGCTCTCTGCTAAAGGCTACAATTATTTACCCGCGCACACACAGACACACACAGACACACACTTCCCCTAGACATGCCTATTATTCTAATGCTATGCTTGGCCTTCTTAGTTAAAACCGAACGAACACCTTCTTCATCTGTTAGGCTAAACTCTTGTTTCCCTCTTTTCCTTAATTCTCCGTCAGTCATTGATAAGAATGAAACTTAAAACCAGCTTTACAAAAAAAGAGCTATGCGGGTTCTATTTTAACACTACTTTAAACACCAGAACCATGACATTTCTGGACCTTCATGTGTCATCTGCAGGAAAAGCCTTGTTCATTTCAACACAGATTGCTTTGTTTTCAAGTACATGCTTTTTAGGATCAAGCTCTTTCAAATTGATCAGTAATCCGGAGAAATTGGAAGGTGTATATCCAGATCCTTCCGCCGGGAAACGTGCCATCTTGAGCCCTATTGCTTCGACATAATTGGGTTGAAGACGGTTCCGAACAGGGCCGGCTCGAGGTGTTTCTGCGCCCTAGGCGAGGCTGCCTTGTGGCGCAGATGCCAACATCCCGGTGGGGCCTGGAGACCTCTGGAGCCAGGCACCCTTTTGCTGCCGCCGCCACCGCCTCCTACCCCCCCGCCACCGCCGAACTTCCGAAGGCATCTTTCAAGACAAGGAGAGCAGCAAGACGCCGACCTCCCATC